TGAGTTCATCTTGATAGAAGCTTTTTGCCTTATTTAAACATGTAGATTCATGACCTTTATCAAATTTGGGAAGTTTTCAGTCACTTCTTCAAGTATTCCACCCCACCCCCTATTCCCCACCCTCATCCCCCCACTTTTGGGACTTCCACTATATGTTTGATGGAACATTTGATAGTTCACAGGACTCTCTTCATTTTTCTTCTTTTGGCTTTAATTACGCCCCCCCCCCCAGACTGGTAATCTCAGTTGACCTAGCTTTATGTTTGCTGATTCTTTTTCTTCTCAAATCTCTTATTATACCTTTTGAGTCAATTTTTTGGTTTCAGTGATTATACTTTATAACTTCAGAATTTTTTATTCCTTTTTATGCACTCTATCCTGTATTGACATTTTATATTCAGTGACTCATCATTATCATATTTTTTCTGTAACTTTCTCTATTTGTCTCTCTTTGGTACCAGGGATTGAACCCAGCTGTGCTTAACCACTGAGCCACATTCCCAACCCTTTTTATTTTTTTTCTTTTGATGCATGACCTTGCTAAGTTGCTGGGGCTGGCTTTGAACTTGTGATACTCTGCCTCAGCCTCCCAGGCCACTGGGCTTACAGATATTTGTCGTTACAACTGGCCAGTTTTCTGTGATTCTTAGTCTGTGATTTCTTTTAGCTCTTTAAGCATATTTAAGATGGTTGATTTAAAATCTTTGGCTAAGTTAATGCTTTCTACGAGGCAGTTTATACTTTTTGTGTGTGTGAATAAGCCATATCTTTGTCTTTTTTTCTGGTAAGTTTTGGTTGAATACTGGGCACTAAATGTTACAATGTGGATACTATGGAAGTCATATTCTCTCCATTCCCCGTGGGTTTGTTCTTGCTGCTTGTTTAATTACTTTTCTAAATCATTTTGTTTGCAAAGTCTTGATATTCTTTATATATGACAACTGATGTTTGCTCTGTTAGCTTAGAGGTCAGCTGGTGATTGATAAAAGATTTACTTAAATACCTGGGCCAAAGAAGAGAAAGCAAAATACTCTTCCAGTCTTTACATGCTGCCTCTGTCTTGAGTACTTCTTCAGGGCTTAGCTAACCTACATGCAAATTTGACTTAGCATATACTTCCTTCTTGCACATTTTCTAAAGATTAACTAAGTAAAAACTCAGAGTCTTCTTTTATCTTATTTGAACACATGTTCAGCTCTGGACATGCACCTGACTATATGCCTTTAAATGCTTTTGACTATAGGCACTCAATAGGGAAACTGCGTAAAATCTGTGAGGGCCCTCAGAGGCCATGAAAGCAAAGGTAAGCCCTTGAGCTAATCTTCAGGGAGCTACCAGATGCCTCAAAGACATAACCACTGTCCTTTGAAAATAAGGTCCATATTGTTCTGTCTAATGCCAGCAACCTACAAGAAATGAATGTTGCCATCATCATAGCCACCACTCAGCTGTGGAGTGGGGCATGATAAGGGGTTAAGTTAAAATATCAGAGTACACTAAGCAAAATTCAGCAGCTTCTTCATGAAGTATTCTCCTTGCTAGTTTTTTATTAGTTTCCAGCATTCCAGAAGAGTTCACTCTGACATTTTTTGCCATCTTAAGATTCATTGTTTTTGTGAAGGGATGGAGTTTTACTCTTCCCTCTTCTGCCAGTTTCCGTGACATTACCCTTTATTTGGGTAGAAGACAATAGAATCCAGTTCATTTTTCAAGGATATACTTACTACCTTTTCTTATTACTTAGAGGGCAGTGATTATTGCTCTCCTTTCTGCCCTCCCACCCCTACTCCCAATTTTAAATGTTTATTTTATTTTCCACACTCCTCTTATTCCTCTGGGTGTTTGTTTTTTTTTAAGCACCTTCTTTTTTAAAAAAAATATTTATTTAGTTGTAGATTAACACACAGTATCTTTATTTATTTTTATGTGGTGCTGAGGATTGAACCCAGTGCCTCACATATGCGAGGCAAGCACTTGACCACTGAGCTACAGCCCAGCCCGTCTGGGTGTTTTTTTGTAGTTGTTGTTTTTCTATTTTTGAGTAGTCATTGGCTCTTTATTCATTTAAGAATGTGGCACTGAAAGCTTAGATGTGTGGATATATATGCATTTATGGATTTACAGGCTCTATCCTTTCAAGCGGAAGCAATTGTTATCATATTTAGGTTTTTTAACTGTTGAGGTTTAAAGAAAGATTGTTACCTTGGCTGTCTATTTTAGTAGTGTTCTGAATGCTGGAAGGGAAAGCAGTGATTCTCATTGTTCACAGTATAGACCCTTATCAGATCCCCTTGTTTTCAGTGCAGTACCCTCATCATCAGCTGTCTTAAATTTAGAGCTTCTTTGGTTCAGCCTCTCTAGAAAAAGAAAGTACTTTCACCTAAACATCCTGTTTTCAGTCTCTTAATACCTACTGGGCTAACTGTAACTTTTACAGGCATTTTTACTCCTAGTTCCTGAGTTTGCAGCACAGATTAGCAATAAAATTACTTCTTCTGTTTTTCTTCTTTACTAAATCAATTACCAACAATCCATCTACTCTTCATGTTTCGAAATGGCATTAATATATCTTCAGTGCTATTAATCCTCCTCTATTCTTTTTTCTTATGGGGTTTATACCATTTTTAGTCTTAATTCTCATTTAGAAAGTTTCAAAAGGGAACGTTTACCACATAATTTAAGAAGGGCTTTCTAAGCATAAACACAATATAAGACGACATGGTAGAAAAAGACTTAAGTTGGCCACTGAAAACTGTGTTACTTATGCATAACAGAAAACATAAAATTTTTTTAATACTTATTTTTTAGTTGTAGTTGGACACAATTTCTTTATTTTATTTATTTTTTTATGTGGTGCTTAGGATTGAACCTAGGGCCTCGCATGTGCTAAGCGAGTGCTCTGCCGCCACAATCCCAGCCCAACAGAAAACATAAAATTTAAAAAGCATAGATAGCATAGTTGGGCACGGTGATCCACACCTATGATCCAAGCTACTCTGGAGGTTGAGGCAGGAAGATCTCAAGTTAGAGTCTAGTCTAGATAACTCAGTGAGATCCTCATCTCAAAATAAAAGGGCTGGAGACATGGCTCAGTGGCAGAACACTCACTTAGCATGTACAACATTCTGGGCTGGATCCTCAGTCGTGCCCCCTGCCTCAAAAGGCATATATATATAATAAATGTGACACAGGATGATACTCATATATTGTATGAACAATTTAAGTACAAATACATAAGAAAAATATTATTCCCCCCAAAATAAGTGGGCTTAGTACAAGAAATTTCATGAGTTCAATATCATTAATAGTGAAAAATGTATACTAAAGTAAATTGTCATTTTAAAACCCATGACAAAAAAGCATTTGTTGTGTATATAGTATGTATGATATTGTGTATATATAGTATGTATGATATTGTGTATATATAGTATGTATGACATTGTGTAATATAGTATGTATGTGTGACATTTTTCTGGACTGAAGTGGCAGAAGAAACTACAACAGAATAATCAGTAAACGTTTTAACTATCTTTTGGATTAGAAATTCTTCCTTAAGAAGCAAAGCTATGTGTGGTAGTATGTGCCAGTAGTCATAGTTACTTTGGAAGCTGAGGCAGGAGGATAATTTAAACCCATGAATTTGAGACCAGTCTGGGCAACAAAACAAGATCCCTTTCAGTAAAAAAGGATGCTCTTGCCCTACCCCAATTTTTCTGATGCTGAGAATTGAACACTTTTTGAGTGTCACTGAATTGCCTGAGCTGGCCTTCACTTATGATCTTATTAGCTCTAGCCTCCTGACCAGCTGAGATTGCTGTTGTGTGTTATCATGCATGACTATTTGTCTTCCTTTGAAAACACTGAGGCTAGCTAGTGACTGAACTAGGTCTATAACCCAAGTCTAAATTTTTTAAAAAAATTATTCTCTTAATCATTCTTTTCACAGAATTTTTTATGTGTATATTTTACTTCTTTGAGCATGAGGAAAAAAAAGTACTTTCAGGTTTCTTTTCGTTTTGTTTTTGCAATGCTGGGATTGAACCCAGGGATGTTTTACCACTGAACTATATCGTAGCCCATTTGTATTTTTTATTTTGAGACAGGGTCTTGCTGAGTTGAGGCTGGTCTCAACTTCCCATTTTCCTTGCCTCAGCCTCCCTAGTTGCTGGGATTATAGGTGTGCCTCCCAGTTAGACTTTGATTAATTGATTTTTTAAGCTTTGTTTTAATCTATATTTTCAACTATAGTAAAATAGCTGATTTAGCAAATCATCATACTTTTTGCATGATGTAATGTGCAACTATTAAAAACCATGTTCTGGAAGAACATTTAATGAATGACATAAGAAAATACTCATGGGTAATTGGAAAAATGAAATAAAAGTTTGAATATAGTATTTTTAAATTATTTTTCTGAATTTATAGTAGATGGAAATATTTTAGTAACATACATATTAATGGATTCAGAGTGATGATTTTGTATATGCATATATACTGGTCAAATACACCCTCCCCTACCCCATGCATCCACCTGTCCCTCTTTCAGCTTTCAGGTTGACTAGATTGTAGATATATTTTCTTTTTTGTGTTTTTTTTTTCCAAATAATATGTATTTTTTTTAATCAGGAAAAAAATATTATAGTGCCCATTTTACCTTTAATTTAGTGTTGCTTTTTTTTTTTTTTTAAATAGTGCTGAGAATCAAACCCAGGGTTACCCAGGGTTTTGCCCATGCCGGACAAATGTACTACCACTGAACTATATACATTCCCAGACTAATTACTTCATGACATGGAACTGCCCCCCCCCCAAAAAAAAAAAAAGGTGAAGTCATATATATATATATAAGTTGTAGAGAACTTTTAATAGTGATATTATGCCATGGAGATACTAATGCAGTGTTTGAAATTTTTTTCTTGTTCATTACTTTTTCTTCTATTTGTAATCAGAAGAAAATTGGAAGATAAGTCTAACCTTTTTTTCCTTATATTTATTATTAGACATTTGAAGACAGTGATTTGTTCCACTTGATTGGTGTTATCTGTGGATTAGCTATTTATAATTTCACTATTGTGGACCTCCATTTTCCTTTGGCTTTATATAAGAAACTCCTGAAAAAGAAACCATCCCTTGATGATTTGAAGGAACTAATGCCTGATGTTGGGAGGTTAGTTGTAAAAAAGTATCAAGGGTAGGATTTGGGAGATAAGAAATGGGAAATGTACAGAAAATTTTCCTTCTAGGATTAATATTGTTGTTTCTATTAAATTTCTGAAATAAATTGCATTATAAATAAATGAATATACATCCTATTACCGAAATCAAAATTTTCTACCTTAAAGACTAATCTTCAGTATAAAGACTAAATTTTTCAGTGAATGTCTGAAGTTTTGTCTTCAGTGCTTGATTTTTAGTGATTTAAAAGTACTTTACATATATCAGATAATAAATGTATGAAGATAGTGTTTTCTGAGAGTGGTTAAATAATTTATTTGGACCTCTGATTATACCCTCATTTCTACTTTGAACATATAAAATTTTTTCAAAATTATTACATAAAATGGAGTAAAAATTACATATAAATAAGAACAAATGCTGAAAATGGGTTGATACATGGTCTTTTTATTCAGAGGAAGAAAGAAAACCTGTTTTTTCCCCCAACGTTATTTGTAAGTTTGACAGTGTGCATACTCTGTTCTGAAACAAATGTAAAAATACAAATTAATGAAAGGATTTTATCAAAAGGGAATGAGAAATACGTACTTATGCAAACAAAATAGTCAAAATACTTAATGATATTTTACCTTAAAGAAATATACATTGTTTTACAGAAGTATGCAACAATTATTGGATTATCCAGAAGATGATATAGAGGAAACATTTTGTCTAAATTTTACGGTAAGATGAAAAACATAAATTAGTCTGATTATTCATCATCCCTTTTATTTAACAGCTTTGCCTTGTAGTTTCATTTTGAAGATGCAACTCTTAATCTTTTAGCTAACATTTATTGAGCATTTGCTATGTGTTAGACACAATATATATGTTGTTCCATTTTAACCTCAATAATCCTGTGAGGTTAATATCATCCTATTTTACAGATGAAGGAAGCTAAAATTAATAATTATATATTAGAGTGGGTACTCAAATCCAGCTATGTGACTTCAAACCTTATGTACTTTATTATTATGCTGAAATGGTGGAGCACTCCTGTAATCTCAGCAACTGGGGAGGCATAGGCAGGAAGATCAGAAGTTTGAGGTCAGGGGCTGGGTTGTGGCTCAGCGGTAGAGTGCTTGCCTCGCATGTGGAAGGCCCTGGGTTTGATCTTCAACACCACATAAAAATAAATAAAATAAAGGTATTGTGTCCAACTACAACTAAAAACAATAAATACTAAAAAAAAAAAAAGTTTGAGGTCAGCCTGGGTCTTGGGGATATAGCTCAGTAGGGATAGCATTTTCATAGCAAGCTCAAGGCCCCTTTAATCTCCAGTACCACCAAAAAAAAAAAAAAAAAGGCAAAAGATCCTTATCCAAGTGTTTGTTTTTGAATCTGTGATTCTGCATTTACAGAGAAGCAAGAGGTTATTGTAATATGAATAACCTTGCAACTTAAAAGATTAATTTCTTTCTGTTTTCTTGCTCATTTTGTCTTACTCACTGTTGGATGATTTAGTATGATACGTATGCAAATTCATTGCAATGTTATTTGGAAATGAAATTGCAAACCCTGTAAAAGATGCAAAATTTTATTAAGTTAGCAAAAAGGGATGTTGAATGGCTGATCTAGTCACATACTAAGCCATTGACAAATGAGAATCTGCCAAAAATAGACCAGTTGGCAATTAAAGAAGAGAAAATCAGCAAGGATGATGATAAGGCACTTCAGAAGGGAACATTTAAATATTGTGAATTTCACACTTGAAAAAATGGTAAAGCCTTTAGTCTATTTTTATTTTTTTTTACACATACATATTTTTTATTTCAGACTAGAAACCTGATTCTCAGCATAGCTTCCAAAAAATACCCATAATAAGATGCCATGTTACACAACTGTCTACTAGCTGCATGATATCAGGAACATTCTATGTTGTGCTCGCCTGGCATGCGTGGGGCGCTGGGTTCGATCCTCAGCACCACATACAAATAAAATAACGATGTTGTGTTCACCGAAAACTAAAAAAAAAATTAAAAAATACATATATTAAAAAATTCTCTCTCTAAAAAAAAAAAAAAAAGAACAATGGGAAAACTTCCATTGTATCTCTCCATTAATGCCAGATTGTATCATATTACACAGAATTGTTTCATATACCTTTGATTTTTTTTTAAGCCTCTTGGCATACATTTTCAGAACTTGATGTTTACTCTATTTATCCATGTATTAAATTGATGTATTAAGTCTGAAATCCTGCTCCCCTCTGGTCTTTCAGAATACTGCCCATCCTTCTTTCTACAAGTTTTAGGTAAAATTAAGCTATCCTTCCTGTGTGGTCTGGTAAAATTTTGTTTTATGGCATTATTTTATTGTAATGATTGTTTATATATCACATTTTCTCCTTTTTTATTAGATTGGTAAACTTTAGAGCAGAAATGTGTTCATTTCTTACTTATCATTCCTTTTCTACCATAGTATTTTTACAGATGCTAGATTTTCATAAAAGAGGATAATATTCCAAAAAAGGAGTAAAGGAAGGATATAGAAGTGGGAATGGCAATGTTTGTTTAAAAAATAATTAGACAAGTATGAGAAATAAAAGTTGCAAAATAGCCAAACACCTGTGATTAAACATATTTTGCAGATAGAGTAATATGGGAGAATAGTAGTAATGTGGGAAGAATGCATAGCTCTTCTAAGCTGAATACATTCTGATAATTTGATTCAGTCACTCTTCTAAGGAAAATATCCTAATTTTCTACTATGTTCTAAATATTTTGTTCACAATTATTCTGTTTCCTGTGCTTAAGTAACCAAACATTTGATAATTTATAATTAGTCATAGTAAGATATCAAAATACTAGAGTATGAAAATTCCTAGTTGTGGCTTTAAGCAGAATTCATAAATAAGTGATGGTGCAGAATTTTGTCTCAAATTTATTAGTTATATCCATGAGACAAAAGGAAGAATATAATAGTAGATTATTAAAATACTAAGTTTTGAGTCTGACATTGACTTTTTTTAAAAATTTAAATTAATAGATCACAGTTGAAAACTTTGGTGCAACAGAAGTGAAAGAGCTGGTTCTAAATGGTGCAGACACAGCTGTTAACAAACAAAATCGGTAAGTGAATTATAGCAGCATCAGTGGGAGTGATTAAAATTGTAGGGCTTTTTTTTTTTTTTCCACCCCCGAGAAACATGTCACAACCCTTAGTTTTTACTCAGGTAAAACTTGGACTGTTTAATGAAGAACTAATATGCCTCTGCTCCTGAAATGCCCTTAAGACATCAGTAAAGGAATGAAAAGATCATAAATAAAAAAAAAAAAAACAACAAAGAAAAGTGAGAGGAGATTGTAGCAAATGCAGTTTTGGAAGCCAGAAAATAGTGCTTAGTTAAGATTGCAAACCAGGGCTGGGGTTGTAGGTCAGTGGTAGAGCACTTGCCTCACATGTGTGAGGCCCTGGGTTCGATCCCCAGCACCACATAACAATCTACAACTAAAAAATAAAGATTGCAAACCCAGAAAGCTGCAATGTAGAATGGAGCAGAATTGCTAAGAAGACTACCAGTTCATATTGTAGAACAAAGGCCGAAGCACTAAGAGTAAAAAACATCCTTTTACAAAATGCATGGAGTTTGTAAACTATTTTTAAAAGAAGCAGTTAGAAACCTTTCCCTTAACACATCCAGTAACCTGGCAAATGTCCTTCTCTAGCTTAGGCAGGAGATTAGAAATATATCTTTTAGAGACATTCAACTGAAGGGACTGTGGTTTGAGATACCTAGGCATAGCTATGGGAAAGGAGCTGAACTGAAAATAGGGAGATGACGTGAAATTCTACAGCTCCTTCTTTCTTGACCCTTTGTATTAGAAGATCTTTTTCTGAAGAAACTGCCTATGTTTTATATGTGAATGGCTAGCCAGTGAGTAGACATTTAAGGAAGGACCAAAACAGTTAAAAAGAATGTCAAGGAACAGGAACAATGCAGAATAAAGAATAAACTTCAAAAGAAACTGAAGTCAGTATCTTCAAGGTGCCAACATCCAGATGGATTCTTTTAAAAATTGAGAGGAAAAATTTATTGGAAGAAATGGAATGAATGAAATTTGTCAAAGAAAATGGTACCCAGAAACTTCCCAGAACTGAAGTTTGGGAAGCCTTTCAAGATTGAAAGCAGGGGAAGTAGGAAAAAAAGACACATACCAAGGCAAAATATACAAACTAAATCCTTCCAGGAGAGAAAAAAAAGCAGACAACATACAAAGAATTAGGAATCAGAATATCATCAGACTTGTAAGAACAACACTAGGAAGCTAGAAAATTTAAATTCTGGGAGAAAAAGCATTTTAATTCTGTATTCTGTCATTATATATAAACATTTTCATATGTGCACCTTCTCATAGAACCTACTTCTGATGCCTCCATCTCAGATATGTTGTACCAACCAAAATAAGTAATTAAACCAGGATAGAGGAAGGTACAGGATACAATATAAGAGAGAGGCAAAGAGGATTCTTTTGAAGGAACAAAAGCTGTGTAGAAGTTTCTCAAAGAGAAGAGTTTGAAGGAAATTAGGAGAAAAATCCAACTGATGCTACCTGATATATTTGAATGAGTATGGAGGAAATTGACAATTGTTTTGGGAGAAGTTAGGGATAAAGCAGCACATGAAGGAACACATTATAATTTTTGTTTTAAGAAAAGGTAAACACAGGGCCTGGGGTTATGGCTCAGCGGTAGAGCACTCAGCATGTGCAAGGCCCTGGGTTCGAGCCTCAGCACCACATATAAATAAATAAAATAAAGGTGTTGTGTCCAACTACAACTAAAACATTTTAAAAACTACATATAAAAAAAAGAAAAGGTAAACAGAATACCCTGCTGCTCAATTATGAATAATATTTGTAATTATAAAAGTGTTAATAGTGAATACTGAACCAAAATCATTATAAAATGAGAATTTGGGGGAGGAAAAATGAGAGCAGAGCAATTAAGTAAAAAGTAAATCTCTACCTTTCCTAATAGGTATTCAGTTCATTATATAACATTTAAGATTGAAAGATCAAAGAATAACACTAGAACTATGTTGGCAGATGCTTGAAGATAAATATCAAAAGGAATAGCAAGAAAGAGTTAACAAGGCCGATGTTGGCTTCAAATAGCAGGAATTTCTGGTAGATAAATGCAGGACAGAAAGCACTTTGTTTTCTTCTATTTTGTCTTTAGACAAAGCTAACAGTGGGTTTGGCTAGGGATATGATCCAAACATTGTAATCCTGTGTTGAGAGCCACAGCCGAAAGGGCCCCAGCAAACTTCCAGCTGCCAGCTGATTGGCTCCTCTGTGGTGATGCTCATTGGGCTGTTTCCCTGCCCTTTCAGACCACGGAGCTGCTCATTGGGGGACTCTTTTGGCTCCGCCCACGCAACCCGGCCAATCGGCCTTAAGAGCAGGAGGAGTGGGGGGTAGAGAGGCTTGTGGGAAGTCCGTGGTGGCAGTTGGGCTCTGAGGGAATTCCTGAAGAGCTTGTGTGGTGCATGTGTGTTCTAAAAATAAAGTTCGTTTCTGCTTGATAAGTGGCTAGTGAATTGTGCCCAGCCAGACTGCGCAATCCTGACTTGATTACTTAGAAGCTATATGACTTTAAATAGATAGTTGATATCTCCATGCCTCAGTCTTCTTTTCTGTAAAATAGAATACTCAATTATATGTACTTCATGGGGTTATTTTGAGGTTTGGGTGAGGCAATAATTTTAAGATAGGACCTATCTAGCACATGTATGTGCTCAGTAAATGTTGGCTATTGGAATTATTACTACCAATAATAAACTATGCATATGTCCTACCTTGTAAAATAAAACTGTTAAAATTAATTAAAAATTTTGAAGCACTTCTAGCTTTTTTTTTTAGGTTTTTGAAAAACTTTGGTTTAGATTTTTTTTTTTTCCTGCTTTTAAAAAGTTCCTGAAAATTATTTCATTTATATTATTGAGAAATTATTTTAAGAATTTTGACAAAAAGTATGTAAAATTATTTAGCCTTTTGTGCTTGAGGGTGTAATTAGTATAGATGAAATTTAACTTTCTAAATGGATGGATTGTAAAATTATGCCTTACCTAATTAACTTTTTTCTCATCTGACTCTAATATTGTATCCTATTGGTTTTTCCTTAGGCCCACCAGGTTTTTATTTTACAATGGCCTCCTTTAGCCAGTTTTTCTGCTACTTATAAATTTAGTTTTGGATTACTTTTATAACTGGGTAAGAATATTTGTAGATGCTTAAATTTACTCATATTTCCATTTACAGAAACACTATTATTTGCAAGACAAGGATATGAAATACTGAAATCATTCTCCAGTGCCTGTTCTCATTATTTGTTTAACTGAATTGCTTCATAAAAATGTTTGTGAATAGCAAAACAAAACAAATTGATTAAAATTTTTTGTTATTCTAGTTACTGGGTAAAGAAGTTTCCCTTTTTTCTGTACAGTATTTTTTGTATCCTAAGAGACAGAAGACAATCAACTGTGTATGTGTGTCTGTATACTGCACATACATTTAAAGAAAAATAAACTTATAGTCTTTTAATAATTATCCTAAAAAAATATTTAATACCTGCTACTTGGTGGTTGTTTTTGAAAATAAATTTTTGTTGAGATTCCTTGGAGTCCAAGGAGAAAGATTCCTCTGTCAAATAATCTGAGTCCCAAAGCTCTCATTTTTTTCGCCACACAATATTTGTAACAGATCACTGTTTTAGGAATGCATGTGAGGTGATACTATAAATTTTCATTAATTTGTGACTTTTGAAATTATTTTTTTAGCCATTTATATCATTCTGTTCATTAGCAAATGATATTTTTCTATTAGGAATAGTCTAAGAACTATGAATGCTTCATGGGTATATCTTAATTTTTAATAGATTTATTTATAATAACTTTGTCCCCTTTGAGTCAGTCCTGTTCATATTTTTTCTGTTTTATATAGTTAAGTAGCAAAAGGCATAGGAGCACAGTTTTAATTAGACTATATTATATGTTCTACATAAGTGATTTTTATGCATGTATGTATATTTTTATTTCTAGGCAGGAGTTTGTTGATGCTTATGTGGATTACATATTCAATAAATCAGTGGCTTCCTTATTTGATGCCTTTCACGCTGGCTTTCATAAGGTCTGTGGAGGAAAAGTTCTTCTGCTTTTCCAGCCTAATGAACTACAATCAATGGTTATTGGAAATACAAATTATGATTGGAAAGAACTGGAAAAGGTAGGAAAAAACCAAATCTATGACATTATTTAAATGGAAAGACCAAGACCATGGCTTATTGGTAGAAGTCCTGCCCTTTTAGTTTCCATTTTTATACAATTACTTCATTTTTATAGGGACACTCTACTGTTTTTGCTCCATAATGAATATTAAACTGTTTTTGAATTGAGGGTAGCAGTTTTATATTTTGTGGGTTTGGTGGTAGAGAGATAGAGAAAAATGTCATCTGGACCACAGGCAGAATAGAAGACCCAGACAAAATGGTGGGTTTTCATTCTGCCTCAGTCTCTGTAAACCGTTGTGAAAAGCATTTGCAATGCATAAGATTTTTTCTCTGATTAATCTCAGTGTTTAATTTTTTGCAGAGAAATAATGAGTATGATCTTCATTTCTGGTGCCTTATCTTTAGGGAGAAAATTAGGAAAGTTTAATCTTCTTCTCTAAGTAATTCTCAAGTATTTCTTCAGTTAACATTTAGTAAAATTGCTAGATTAGGTCAGCTTTAAGAAATAAGGTTATGGGCTGGGGTTGTGGCTCAGTGGTGGAGTGCTCGCCTAGCATGTGTGAGGCTCTGGATTCAATCTTCAGCACCACATAAAAATAAATAAAGATTATGTCCAACTACAACTAAAAATTTAAAAAAACAAAATAAGGTTAACAATCATTTTTCTAATTAATATAGCCTCCTCTGATATAATTTTTGCAGTTTGGCAGTTAACACGTATTTGCTATATGATCTAGCAATCCTAATCCCAAGTATTATGTTCATCTAAAAATCTGTAAATGAAGAGGGAGGTAGGGAATTCTTGTTTAATGGTCAGACAGAGTTTCAGTTTTAAAAGATGAAAAGAATTTTAGATCTGGATGGTGGTGGTGATTGCACAACAGTGTGAATTACTCAATGTTACTGAACTGTATATTTACAGATGTTTAAGATGTAAATGGATACGTGCATTTCTTACAGTTTTAAAATATATGGTTTTTTTTAACTCAGTTAAAAAAATGGGAAGATAGTTTAGCCCAGGAAATCAGCATTCCCCCATACAATTTAGAGGTATAAGAGTGATCTTCAGTCATCCACCTGTCTTTCTTCATCCCCACTGACATGTTCATAATGTAACTTCAAACAAGTTAATAAATTTAACATCACTTAGAAATCAAGTTATTTTCTCAAATTGTTTGGAAGTACATTAATTATTTTGCACATTTGGATAATTATTTTGCACCATTTGAGATAGTCATAGCTACAAATAGCAAGAGCCCAAAATACAAGAAACCCATTAGCAAATATTTATTCAGCCTCTAATGAGGTCCTATGTAAGAGATTGGGGAGATGATAGTCAATAAGATTGAGACATAGTCTTTGCCCTCTGATAAGGAAGCTAACTACTTTTAATTGAGTTGTGATGAATACAAGGGGAGAGTAAGGGTTTAGTGAATAGCACATACGGAGGAACTTAACCATGCTTGTTAAATGTGGAAAAGAGTCTCATTAGATGGGAAATTCTGCAAGGTAAGTCAGGACTTCATTCACTGGAATTTCCCCACAGCCCAAAACTTTTAATAAACTCATTATAAATCAGTTGAATAAATCAGTGATTGAACTAGGTGACATTTTAATCTGAGCCCTAAAAAATAAGTAGAAATTAGCTTGTTGAAGAAGTCTTTTCTATATTGCCTATGCCTAAGGGAACAGTATGTCCAAAAATAACATTTGTCAGGCATGGTGGCACATGCCTATAATCCTAGAGACTCCGGAGGCTAAGGCAGCAGGAGGGTTGCAAGTTCAAAGCCAGACTCAGCAACTTATTGAGACCCTGTATTAAAATAAAAAAGGACTTGGGTCGTGGTTAAGTACCTGTGGGTTCAATCCCTATTATTTAAAAAAGAAAAAAACCTTGAAAACAAGAACAGAGAAAACATTATTTTACATAGTTTGTGTCAGGAATGGATTAGCTAGGTAGTTTGGCTCCAGGATTTCTGATGATGGTATAGTCACAATATTGACTGGCGCCACTGCCATCCAAAGGCTTGATAAAGGATATTCATTTCAACAAGGATACATAGTCATATATGGCTGTTGGCACCATAATGATGTCTGTCCATAGTAGGGCTATTTGAGTGTCTTCACGAAATGTCCCCCCATAAGTGTGATCTGAAAGAGTGACTGTAGCCACAGAGGGTTATTTTTATTGTTTATGATCTAACCTGATAAGTCATACATTTTTCATATCAAGTTCCCTAATGATTACATAGGTCAGGCCCATTCAATGTGGAATGTGGTAGTACACAAGAACACGAATACCAGGAGGCTTATTGAGGACTATCCTTGAAACTACCACAGAAAATTATTAGTGTTGCTCTTAGTAGCATTTTTGTAAAGGAGAAATACAATGTAAAAATAACATGACTTCTATTCAGGAGTAAAAGAAAATTTTTTAATTACAGATAATTAAAAAAAATTTTAATTATAGGTAATTTCCATGTTGGAAATTCAATAATCCTTGAACATTATTTTCGTATTTCTAGTTTATCCTTATTCACATAATTACTTACAAAGATTATAGTCCTATCTTGTTTTTGGAAAAGGTTTCTGGTGGTTCATCTGTTTTTCTTTTTCTCCTGGAATATAAGAGTGTCAAATTGCAAAATGCCCAGGAAATGTTGGGTAATCATCTGCATTGCACATTTCAGATTCCTGGACCATGGTGTCTTTATGGGCTAAGGAATTCAATTTGCCAAATTAAGACAAAACTAATATTCCTTAATCCTAATAAGAGGTTATATTGTTTTTAGAATACAGAATACAAAGGGGAGTATTGGGCAGAACATCCTACGATAAAAATTTTTTGGGAAGTATTTCATGAATTACCATTGGAAAAGAAAAAACAATTCCTGTGTAAGTATTTCTAGTTTCATATTTTATGAGGTGGGAATCTTAATATTAAACTAATTCTCATAGAATATTGACTGATTCTCTTTGGATTAGATTTTTTTCATAGTATTTTTCTAAAAATCTTAAATTGGAATAATTTTTACTTTAAAATATGAACTATCATCTTAATTGCTTGTTTTCTTTTATCTCAAAGGCCAAGTTCAGTTTGCCTCCAAAATATTGTTGGTTTTTAGAAAAAAAAACAGGAATTGGGGCTGGGGTTATGGCTTAGAGGCAGAGCACTTGTCTATCTCTTGCACATGTGAGGCACTGGGCTTCGTCCTCAGCACCACCACATAAAAATAAATAAACAAAATAAAAGACATTGTGTCCATCTATAACTAAAATTTAAAAATAAAAACCAGGAATCAAAATAAACTGGGATTGTAGAATCCTTTTAGATTTCTAAAAAGATCTTTAGACAATCTAGCTCTTTTCTATGTTTGCTCTTTTCTTTTTCTCTTTGATTCCACATTTCTGGGAATTTCTGTAGAAAGTATCTTTTTTTTTTTTTTCTTTCTCCAGACCTTAGTTCCTTCATCTACAGCCTCATGTCTGTTGTGTTTTTCATCTCGTTAAAATCTGAGTCCAATTGAAGTTTGACCTTTTTCGGGGGGAGTAGTACTGGGGATTGAATCCCCAGGCACTTTACCACCGAGGTACATCCTTATCTCTTCTTATTTTTTTGAGACAGAGTCTCGCTAAGTTGTTGAGGGTTTTGCTAAATTGCCAAGTCTAGCCTCAAACTTGGTGATCCTTCTGCCTGCCTCAGTCTCTCAAGTCGTTGGGATTACAAGTGTGCACCACTGTGCCCGGCCCTATTTTAAAAAGTTGTCAGAATTTATGTTCTCAATCAGTGACATTCCTTTAGTATTCCCTGCTATTGCCAAGAACATTTTGGCTATCTTTTCTTGATATCTTTTCTTTTCTTGAGAATTGCCAAATATCAGGATGAATCTTGCTTGATGCATCCTGTATCATAAGGATAGTAAATTATTATTCTTTGGAAAAACAATTTGAGTTTTGGCTCACTGTTAACAATTTTCTATCAAAAGTAACAGGAACAAATAGAGAAGGGTATATGTTTTTGTTTTAACTGCGTTTTGGGCTGGGCCTGGGGCTCAGCGGTAGCACACTTGCCTGGCATGTGTGAAGCGCTAGGTTCCATTCTCAGCACCAAACATAGACAAACAAATAAAGGTCTATCAACAACTTTAAAAATATATTTTTTTAAAAACCTGCATTTTTATTTGGCTTTTTAACTAGTTCTAAATGGCTCTTCCCAAAAGAAGGTCAGTAACAGTAGTCATTAATGTTTCAAAGAATGTCAGTAGTAGTAGTCATTAATTCATCAAATGTTTATTGAACACTTTCTGTATACCAATATTAAGATTATACTTTTAAAGGAAAAAAAAGTGTATAGGTGGGTAATTAGTATGCATTTTGAAAATCTTCCACAAATTCTGGAAGCAGATGTTCACATAAAGTTGTGCTATAGAACTGCACTAGGTATTCTTAGCTACTATATGCTGTTGTGTGAATGATTTTTTCCCCCCCTGGCAGTGTTTTTGACAGGTAGCGATCGCATTCCTATTCTTGGTATGAAGAGTCTGAAACTAGTCATCCAGTCAACAGGAGGTGGTGAGGAATATCTCCCAGTTTCCCACACCTGTTTTAATCTTCTAGATCTTCCAAAATATTCAGAAAAAGAAACTCTACGCCGTAAACTGATCCAAGCTATTGATCACAATGAAGGCTTCAGTTTAATATAACTTCAGAGTATTTAGTTTAGTGCATAAGCATTAAACCACTTGTGTTTTTCTTGTGGTGATGAATTCAGCAAAGTGTCAGGTACTATTATAATTCCTACTTGCAAAATGTTTAATGCTATGAGTATTCATGAAAGCCAAAAAATATTAAAAGAAAAATGAACTGTTAATATTAAACTTATTGTACAGAACCATGAATTTTTCCCCATCTTCCTCATGAACATACAAATATTGTGAATACATTAAAGTTTTACTAACATAAATTTTAAGAGTGTGCATATTTCAAGAATGATCTGTGAGTGCATGGAAATGTTGCTTAATTTTTCTTCAATCACTGGGTGGAAAGCCTTTAACTTTGGCCTGAAATAGTCATTTGATTATTTTTCCATTTTGTAAATAATGTTTTGTAATAAAATAGTTATGTTCTGATACCAGTACAGTTTCTATGGTTGTAATTGAACTGAGCTGACTCTTAAGGGTTAAAAATTATGAATTAATCTTATCTGAGCTGGGCATATATATAACTCAGTGTTAGAGCACTTGCCTAGCATGTGTGAGGCCCTAGGTTCCATCGCCATTACACTTTTTTTTTTTTTTAAAGCATGTTTCTAACACAGTGTGATTTTTTTTTTTTCCCTAGAATAAATGTATGTGCAAACTTGAGTTTACAGATAGGAGTTATACTAAAAAACTTGTAGTTCTGCCCTCTTTTGTGAATCTTGAGATGCTGATAGATGGGAGGTTATCAAAAAGCTTATTTATATTTAGAAATGGAAGAACTTTGTCTCTATAGTTGCCATAGAGAAACTTTGGCTAGTAAGAAAACCAGTCACTGGATTTTTAGCTTCCAAAATTATTGATTCTGTGGGTTAGTATTTAGTCAGAATTTTTAGTACTTAAGAACTATTTCCTTGAATTTTCAGAAACAAATCTTTTTATGGTGCTGATGCTTAGTTATCTCATGTCATTAAATTGTAAAAGCAAGTTGAGTTGATGCAATACATGTGACTTTCTGCTATAATGCAAATATTTATTTTTTAAATTTATAGAAATATGCCGTGAAAACTGTTTAATAAAGAATTTATTGGTTTGATATTTAAACTTTCAGTGGTTCTCGTAAGATTCAAAATTCTTCAAAAAGTGGGCTCTCAGGGAGTTTATTACATTTGAATTGTTCCTATTCCTTTATATTTGTTTGGTAGAGGTGCAGTCTCTTTATAATTCCAAAATAAAAAAACCCTGAAATTTTTTTTTACATTTTATAACAGACCTAATCAGAACTGTTGGCTATTTATACTATTCACCAATTGGGACTAGGAACCCCTGCATAGTACTGCATATTTGCTAAAATTCATAATTCCAAAATACAAACAAGCACAAGGGCTTCATTAAGGAATCACAGACCCGTACTTTTCAGAAGTTTAACTTAAAAAAAAAAACAAAAACATAAAAAATTATAGGCGATTTTTATAGGTAAAGCACTGAAAAACAATATTCTTAAGGTGATTTCCTTGAAATGGCATTCTTTCCTATGGGAATTTTTCCATGTACCTGGTAATATTACCATTTCTCTGCACCCATTCCTTGAGGGTGGTGATTTTCCAAATGCAAAGTATGTGTCAGGTGCTTTTTTCATTAGTAACCTTTGTATGCTATGAAGCTCATCTGTGAAAAAGCAGCCACTTTGGATTAACATGGAGTTCTGTATCAAGAACATTGCAGTTTATCTGTGATCACACCTGTACAAAGCTTAACTTGGGTAAGTGATAACTTTTTTCTCCCTCAGTTACAGTCTGTAATATAGCAGCTTTAACAACAAGAGATTCATGATTAAATAATATGCCATTGAAGATTTTTCAAATTGCTGTTTGTTTTATAAAATTAGGAAAAATCTCCTTTGCTTTGTAAATCAGAGTAGCAGGTAGGTAAATACTGAATTTGTTGTCATAGACTGGTTATTGAGTTAGCTAAACTTGAAAATACTTTTCTCTCTACACAGATGTCAGGGTGGTAGCCTTCTTACAGGATCCATTTATATAGTTTGTAGTATCAATGTTTCCTAACAGATTTTTGCCCTTATAGATTTTTACTGTTTAGTTTAGCAAAAGGTCCAGAATCAAAGTGTAATTATACCATGAAGAGCATGGGTAAACTTGTCTGAAGGCAAGGTCGAATATTTCCTCTTCTGAGCCCCCTCCCCAGCCCTTGTGCATTTTGGCCATCCAAAGCTCCTTGTGATAGTTTCACTCACCTCCTCTGCTAAAGAATTCACATATCCTTAGCTCCTTGCGCTTGGCAGTGTTTGCTTATAAGCCCAAACCTCTCCCTTCCCTGGTGCTGAGAATTGAACCCAGTGCTTCACACATGCTAGGCAAGTACTCTACCACTGAGCCACAGTCCCAACTCTCAAATATTTCAGAAAACAAATGGAGCAGACAGGCTTATTTTGTGAGAATATTTCCTTTTCAGACTGACCTTAGAAAGAGTGTTAAAAGTCAGAAAGGCTGGGGTAGGGCCATAGCTCAGTGGTATAGAACTTTCCTAGCATGATTGTATGAGGCACTGGGTTTGATTCTCAGCACTGCACTGTTTGTAAATAAAAAACTTTATTATAAACAATAACTTGATTTTTTAATGTCAGTTCTGTTTCTTTGTTTCTCAAACCTGACTATACTTTTGAACTACCTGGGGGTGCTTTTTAGTACAAGCCCTGCTTTGTGCCAGTTAAATATGTATTCATATTCCTAAGAGGGGAGGCGTTCTAAACTTCCTCAGGTGAGTATTAATTACCAGTCTAAAAAGGAGACCATTTCTTCATCATTGAAGTATCCTACTTTGAGTTTAAGGCTGAGTGGCTTATTTAGATCTTTGTCCATTTGGTGTACACACACTCCTAGCTTATAGGTTTAGGAGTTTAAGAAAAACAAAAATCTGTCGTATTTCATTCAAAATAGGGTATTACTATCAAGTGAAAGAGTATATACAGAAACTAAAATAGCTGTATAGTGTTGAGTAACAGCTTAAACTAGGTATTGCTAAGTCATTGATACTTTCCAATCTGTGCGTATGTGGAATGTCAGGGATTAATTGGGGATTAAAGCTAATTTCTCTAGGGCTGACAGAACAAGGGCACTATTTTTGTTAAATCTGCCTAGCAAGTTGTCTGGGGAGGAAGGTATGACACCTGAGAACAGGAAACTGCCAGTCAAGTCTTTATTCATTACATGCATTCTAATGTGCATTTTTCAGCCTCTTAAATTTAAGTACTATCTCAAAAACTTATAATGGATTGGACTAAGAAGGTTCTGTGGTAAGCCTCAAAAGTTGATGTGGGCTATTGGGCATGATGTCATATGCCTGGAATCCCACTTGGAAGCTAAGGCCGCTTTTGAAGGATAACCTTGAGCCTAGGAGTTTTTTAGGACAAACCACTTCTTGGGGAGGCGGTAACTGGGGATTGAATCCAGGGGCACTCGACCACTGAGTCGGGTTCACACACACCTCACTTTTGCTTTTGAACTCTCAATTCTCCTGCCTCACAAGCTGCTGGGATTACAGGTCTGTGCCACCACTATGCCTTAGACAACAGTTGAAATACTAACTTTTGGTGATAGTACAATCAAGCACAATCAGTATGGGGCTCAGTCAGACCTTTATAAATTGGCAGGCAGCATCTAATAAATACAGTCCTCAAAACTGTATAAATCCTGCAAAATTTTAAAATGTTATATAACTTATAAACAATGTAAATTAACAGGAAAAAAGTCAAATGACAATTTTAATAGACTTTAAAACAGTGTACAAGTATAAAACACTGGTTTTGTATTTCAAAAGCTGGAGGAAGATATCCAGTCATTAAACAGTCTACAAAACATATGCCAGTAGATTACATAAAAGACTATGTACAATATAAAAAGAGCTGAAAACAGTCTTCACTGTAAAAATAATTTAAAACAAATTTTTCAATTTAAAATATCATCTATAGCACAAACACATCATGCAAATGGAAAACTAAATATACTGCATTCTTTAATGTAGCCAAATAAGTTCAGATTGAGACATCTTTTAGGTAGGGAAATGGCCATTCAATATAATTTTCTACTCTGGAAGTAATGGTCCTAGCTGGGTATTTTTTTCATAAAGAACAGCTATGTTTCAAACCCTCTTTATTGTAATAAATACTAAACCAACATAAGAATATAATTTGGGGGTAATGTTCAAAAAAAGGTCTGGAAAATAAATGTTTTCTGTGACTTTATAAAATAGGAGAAGCTTCTGTAGTTGAAAAGTTGATCTCTAGTTTTAAGGCAGGCTAAGCTTTTAAATAATGTTAACTAGTTTTTTATTCATTAACTATTCTGCTATTACAAGTTAAAGGTTCCTCCCCATAATACCAGGCTAGCAGTTTGGTATTTGTTACACCAAATCCTCCCAACAGGAGACATGTACTTTCTGGCTGAGTTGTTATTAACATCTTATTACTTTGGAACTGTAATCAGGGACCTGTTGTTTTCTTCATTAATGGAAAAACAGCAGTCCAGAATATTACACTCTTCCCAGTAGAAGTACCATTATTACAGATTCAGAAAGGCTTTGCATATTCACATCTTGGCAGTTTAATACTTGTGGAAAAGGATCAATGCAAGCTCTACCACAGTGATAGGTACTTAAACAACAATGGCAAATATTTCAAAACTAAGGAGATCCAGGCAGGCACTATTGTTTCTAGAGCAACTGAAACATTTCCAAAGCATTCACTTGTTTTTTTTTTTTTTAGGTTAGTTTTATGAGCCAATATAGACGTCACTACATGTCTGTAGGAAGTACAAAAGCCATCTTCAATTGAACAATAAATACAATACTCCTGAAACTCTTAGCACCAAAGTCTTACTTTGAAAAAGTAATGACAACTGAGTGCTCTCCCGAATATTTCTGACTTTCTACTTACATTGCATGTCATTTTTAATTTTAAAAAAGTTAGCTGCCATAAGTCTTGGAAAATGCCAGTGTTTAAAAATAGGTAATTGTGCTAAAGAATCAAAAGATCAGCAGAACAGATATTTTGAGGACTTCAAACCATTCAATGTTACAAAGAAAAGTGTGAAATAACCATTCTTTGGTCTAGATAAGCTGTTCCCTTTACATTAATTTAACATTCCAATGGCTTTTTGAAAACTTTAAAATGTTGAAACTCACTAGGCAAAAACAAAATTATACATACATACATACAGATGTATCATACAAATGAAACTTTAAAAGAAAAGTCATGACCAACAGCTGACTAAAGATACTTAGTACCTTTCTTTAAAAAGTTAGTGTTGAGTGTACAAGTACAGGAATGGAAGTTAAAAAATTATCCATGAAAAAAAAATCTACTTGACCAGTCCATATAAATATTACACCTTCTGTTTTCCTTGCTCTATTGAGTTCACAAGTAAACATTCATTTTGACATGCTAAAGTTCCTAATGCTGGTGGAACAATTCCTGTACCTGGACAATTATTACATTATGATTTGTTTGCTGGATAGTTAATGTCTGTTACTTCCTGTTTTATGGATATAGCTTCATTAACTGCCTCTCGATCGCCTCCATCATCTGCAAATCCAGTTCCTCCAGCTCTTTCCGGAACATCAGCATCATCTTCCAGGCCATTGTAGAATTCTTCAATTTCACTTTCATCTTCCATGGGTTCTTCTAAACTTGGACTCTGACATGTACCACTATCACTGTTACTGCCACAAGAACTAGAGGATAAGACGTCATCTTCAGAGTCTGAATATACTTCAGCGCCATGGAAAATGTAACGATTTGGTGGTAAAAACAGATATTGATTACCTGAAATACAGTAATAAATGAAATGTTAGACTTAGTTCAGTCTAGTTGGACAGTCTAGAGTCCAGTGTAGGTTCTATCTGCCTTTTATCACTAGACATTAATTTTGTTTTAAAGCAAGAACTGTGAGTCCTGGATTGAAATATTAGTTCTTTGTACAGGTAGCTGTTTCCTCGTGTGGAGAATGAAATAATTTTAATCCTGATTTAAAAATGAAGAGAGAGAAATCATTCAACAATTCCTTTTTAAGAAATTTGAAATTAGATACCCAATTCAAATTCATTAAATAAAATTTCTCTAAAGCACGTTTTAGAAGTATTTCATCTAACATTTCCATTTATCTTTTTTCCAGCTTGCTACTTAATATACTGTGAATATCTTCATCTCCCCACCATTCAGAATGCAGTTTTTAGATACTGGCATCGATAGCCCCACCGCCCACTCTAAGAAACCTGTACTTTTTTTTTAGTGCTCAGGATTGAACCCAGGGCCCCCAGAATCTCAGAGTCCTGTAGATATAGGTTAATGACGACAAGAAGAAGCTCATTTCCTCCCCTTAAGCCATGGACACTAGGTCAAGAAGAACTCCTTAAGATGTGTGTGGGTTTTTGGTTTTTATTTTGTTTGGAGATGGACAGAATGACTTTTTATATGGTGCTAAGGCTCTAACCCAGTGCTTCTGCTAGGCAAATGCTGCTCTGTCACTGAACCATAATCCAAAACTGATGTGACAGTCTGCTACATATTGTGAAAAACACTTATTTCAAAGCACAGTTAGAAACTAAGACATCAGTATTAATTTTCATGGTTGGAGTAGGAAGTCAAGTACTTTTATTCCAGTGGCAAGACAGAAAACCCCTAGCAGCACTTGGGTCATGTTCAGTGTTTAAAAAGAAGCATTTTATGTGCAAAAGGAGGCTTTTGTCTGCTCTTGTGAATTAAATGGTAGGAAACAAGGAGCCTTTAAATGGGTCCCAGCATATGATTATATCACACTTTTGTTTCTATAATTTTAGCTCATGATTTAAAAACATTATATTCTGCCCTAGCCTCACTGAAGAATTGGGGAAGTACTAGTTACCAAGACTCATACTTGATTTTACTCTAATCAAGTATAATTCCTGGGCAAAGAGTTACGTATGACCAAGAATCTGACAGAAGATCTTCAAGGAAAATTCCAGTACTAGACTTCTATTTTAATACTCTACTAAAAAATTAGCCTTCTAGCCGGGTGTGGTAGCACACGCCTGTAATCCTAGTAGGTAGGTAAGCTGAGACAGGAGGATCTCAGTTCAGCAACTCAGTGAGACCCTGTCTCTAAAAGGGCTGAGGATATGGCTCCTTGGTTAAGCACCCCTGGGTTCAATCCCCTGGTATAACCTAGTCTCCAAGTAGAACCTACTTCTTGTACCCACTAGTCAACTCTGATCTGCCTCAGCATCATTTATAACTTATAGGGAAAAGGCCCCAAAACAACTTCAGGTGAACTAAAAATTTACATACGACTAGAACACTTAATCTCCATACCATCAACAAGTTTTATGTAAACGTGTATTATGTTTGAAGGTGTGCAAAACTGTTAGGCCTAAGTTAAAGCAAATATCTATTTTTACATTGATTAAATTATGACCTTCCCATGTGTGCTACTTCTACTAAAACAACATCACCCTTCAAAAAGCAGCTTTTCTCACTTGTGTTAATACTAATTGATATTCTGCATATATCAAAAGGATAGATGCTATTCCTGATATTCAGTGGAGAAGAATCATGATATGTTTTCCAGATCTGAGACTGTACATTGTAGTGGTTAAGAGAACAGCCTCTGAGGTGAAAGACCTGGAATACAATCTGGCTCTGTGTGCACTTCCTAGTTGTTACCTTGTATGATGTTGCACATAATCCTCTTGGTCTTCCATTTTCCCACCTGAAACAGGGAAGTAATAATACTTCCTACCTCATGTGTTAGTTTAAAATTAAATGTTAGATATGTGTATGAAGTTACTGACCCACATTAAGCATACAAACAAATCATTTCTACCAGTTAAGAGTTTTCAGTGGCAGAGTATATAATATAAACCTATTCTCAATATTTATCTTCCATTTTTCTTCCCATCCCCTGGAGAAACAACATATAGCATACCATTAAAAGCAAACACTCTTCACTCTTTCCTGTATCATGTAAGATACCACTACATTTACCCGTCTGACTTCTGAACTTCACACAATTTTCAATTCAACTATGGAAAGCTACCCAAATCAGGGCTGGGGATTCAGCTCAGCAGCGAAACACTTGGAGCTTCCCTAATCAACTAACCTGCCCAAACTGCTAGTTTGTCCCACCAAAAAAAAAAAAAAGTTTTATAATAATCATACTTTCCAACAAAATTTCTTACCATCAAGCCGCTTACTAATCTGTTCTTTTGCAAGTCTGTTGGGCCAGCACTTTCTCACTGTTTCAGCAACTGAAGTTCTTTCACCTTTCTCACCAGTATTGGAACCAACATCTTTCAAATCTGGATTTTCCACATTAACACACTCAACATTTCTAGTAGAAGTCTGTACTTCCTGTGATTTTTCTTCCACACAACTCTTTGATTCAGATACATCCAAATCATCATTAGTCTTCGCTGTTTGGTTTAAAAGTGTAACAATCACTGAAGAATCTGGTGGTGAAGTTCTTTCTGGTGAACTTGATTCTTCTGAAATATTTAGAGGTGTTGGTGGTAACTCTGATAAATGGACCAACTCTTTTTGTGTTCGTGGAGGTTTTTCGGTAATTTCTGAAAGCTTTACAGGGTTACAGCAAAGTTTGGCGTATTCACCACCTAACCTATGACACAATTCATTAATTATGACATCACAGTCTCCAAGAAGTTCTACATCAAAATGCAGATGAGGCAGAGGTTCCCTATTAATTAATATCTGAGGCACTTCGTGTGGTATGGAACCTAAAAACAGGGTAAAAAGAAAGTTAGGAATTGAAGGTGAGCTAATAAAATCATAACAAATGCATCCTGCAAAAAAAAAAAAAGCCTGAATTCCAAATAAAAAAAAAGATACTTGAAAAGTCATTAAGTCATTACATTTCATCAAAAAGCTATCGAGGGGCTGGGGTTGTGGCTTAGCAGTAGAGCACTTCAAGAGCCTTAGTTCAATCCTCAGCACACATTAAAATAAAAGTATTGTGTCCAACTAAAAAGTAAAAAAAGATATCGAACAAGTGAGAAGCATTAAAGCATCCCAGTTTCTGATCTTGCCAGGTTGGTTACCTCTGAGCAATCTTGTAACTTTCCATTTTGACCTCAATTTCCTTCTCTGTAGAGAATGGGAATAATGTCATTACTTAATTCTTGGCACACAGGTGTTTAGGTTACCGTTGTACTGAAGTAGCTCTTGATACAAAGGTTAAAAGCCATACAGACATATTCTACACTACTTACCAGAAACTTTTTTTACATTTTCAAAAAACCATATTTGCCTATTACCAACACTACTCTATTACCCCACAGGCACAAGCCTGTAATCCTAGCGTCTTGGTAGGCTGAGACAGGAGAATTCCAAGTTCAAAGCCAGCCTCAGCAATTCAACAAGGCCCTAAACAATTTAGTAAGACCCTATTTCACTAAATTTAAAAAAGTGGGACTGAGGGCTAGGGTTATAGCTCAGTGGTAGAGTGCTCATCTTGCATATGGAAGGCAGTGGGCTTGGTCCTCAGCACCACATAAAAATAAACATTAAAAAAAAAAAAAAAGCTGGGCTGAGGTGTGGCTTAGTGGTAGAGCACTTGCCTTGCATGCATGGTGCACTGGGTTCAATCCCCAGCACCACATAAAAAAACTAAATAAACAAGGATATTGTGTGTATCTACAACTTTTTTTTTTTTTTTTTTTTTTTTTTTTTTTGAGGCACAGGAGGATAGCTGAAGATGTGGCTCAGTGGTTAAGTGCCCCTGGGTTCAATCCCTGGTACCAAAAATAAATAAATAAAGCTTTTAAGGCAGAGAAACCCAGGTATGGTAACTTGGGCCTATAGTTCCACTATTTGGGAAGGTAAGGCAGGAAGATCACTTGAGCCCAAGAGTTCAAGAACAGCCCAAGTTAGAAAGTAAGAACCCTATTTTTTAAAAGAAAAGGAAAAAACTGGGCTAGAGGTGTAACTCACTCAGTGGTTGAGTGCCTACTAAACATACATCAATCCCAAGGTCACAAAAGAATGGGGAGCTTACACTACTAAATTATGTTCATTTAATCACAAATCACCTATATTCTACTGCACAAGGATTTCACAGCTATTTAAGAAAGTCTGAGTTAAGTGATAAAGCCACCAGATGTAAGACAAATACAGAATTAAGGAGTTTGACTCATGTTTCTTGTGTTTACCTATTTGATTTACTGATATAAAACCATTTAATTCTCTGTTTTGGCATCTGATTGTCTGCTCTTGTCCTCCCATTTATAAAAAGACACATCTGATATATTTGAAATATCCTTCTCATTTCCCTGGCTTCATTACAGGAGAGAAAGAAGGTAGTATGAAAGCATGTTAAAGAAACTTCCCAAGAATAATAGGGTCTTGAATTACATGGAAACATTGTTAAACACATACACACACTCCTTGGGTTTATGTAAGCTAGAGCCATGTACTACCATTATGACGTGCCATGACTGTCATTACTACAAGAAGAGACTATCATTTTGAATCTCTAAATTATACCTTACACAAGTATATTACACTTCTAATAAGTTGTGCATTTGAAAAATGTGAAAGGTCAAAAACTGTAATATCATGGGCTGGGGTTGTGACTCAGTGGCAGAGTGTTTGCCTAGCATGTGTGAGGCACTGGGTTCGATGCTCAGCACCACATATAAATAAATAAAATAAAAGTCCATTGACAACTAAAAAAATAATTAAGAAAAAACTAATATCAATACAAATAATTTCTTAAGTTTATGTAAACAAATCAAAACTAAACTCTGCCACATTAAACACACTGCATTAAAAAGTCTAAGTTGAAGCTGGGTGTGGAACAGTGGCACATACCTAGAAATCCCACCTACTCTTTAGTCTGAGGCAGGAGGATCACAAGTTTGAGGCTGGCTTCTGTAACTTAGAAACTCTGTGTCTCAAAAAAACTAGAAATATACCTCACTCAGTGCATTTTCCCTTCATCTGGATTTTCCATGAGTAAGAACTAAAATTTAGTATTCCTTCTGTTTTGATATCCCCCGGCCCTCATTAAATATCATTTGCACATAACCCGCATAAACAGAAATATCATCTAAAAAATATAGCCTAGCTCTTTATCACTTTCTAAATAGGAAAGTGGTAAGATCACTAGAGCCTATTATACAGATCCATAACCTGTGGTATCATATGCAGAAAAATTCCTCCAAAATCGTCACTAACTTACTTGGAATTAGTGCTACTGGTCTTACTTTCAGGGAAGACCCAATAACAATAAGGAGATCGACTTCGTCTTTGTCATACTTCATGGCTCTATGAAACTGTTCTGGTAAATTTTCACCAAAAAAGACAATCTCTGGTTTCATGATAGCAAGTGGTTCATCAGCTGGGCACCTAGGACATCGAGGAACTACCTGCATGTTCCAGATATGGGTTGAGATGAAGTGAAAGAAAGTTCCACATTAGTAGTAGTCAATATTTCCACACTTTTTAAAAAATGCATTTCAGAATTATCATAGAAAACAGAAAAGCTGTAGAATAAACGGTAGGGAAAATTGGATACAATCTAAATGTCAATTTTAAGTTTACTGATACACAATGAAACATTTTCCTGTATTTTTTCACAGTATTTTTATGTTTTGAGGATTACCACAACTCCTTTAAAGGATCCAAATCTGACATCACTAAAAAGGAGAGAAAGGAGAAAAACTAACATAGCAGCTTCTTACTTGTGACCTGGGTTTTTATTTTAGGCTTATATAACAAAGGAGCCAATTTAATGATTTCAAGGTATTATTGTATTTCATTAGGATTCCCAATGGCAACACTTTCTTCCTGGACATTTCCCTGTCTCATAAATATTTTGCAGGGGTGGAGGGTACTGGTGGCTAAGGAAGAACAGATCAGAGATGAGCACATTCCTAAAATGTGGGTGATTAATTACCTGATTAAAAATATCTCCTCGTACAGCTTCACAGTCAACTTTATATTTACAAATCAGGCAAGATGCTGTTGCAAAGGAACCTAGAAGCAACCAACATGTATATAGTTTATTAAAGTAATGTTTCTTAAACATAAAGTTTAACTCTATAAAAATTACAATTTTAAGAGATTCCACATGGAAATTTAGAGAAAATGAAAACAATACACGTAATACATGGAGACAATTCAATCCTCCGCTGTGAAACACAGGTGTTAACTGTGTCTTCTAAAACTACTCTTAAATAACTCTACTAGTGCTAAAACTCTTCAGGATATTAAGGTTCCAATTTTAATATCTTAGTTCAACAGATGTGTTTTAGAAACTTTACAGAAACAATCTCATGTTACTGCAATATCTTCTAAAACGAAAAGTATATTAATATTGGTTGGGCACAGTGGCACACGCCTATAATCCCAGTGACTTGGGAGGTTGAGATGTGAGAATCAAAACTTCAAGGCCAGTCTCAGCAACTTAGCAAGGCCCAGTCTCAAAATAAATTTTTAAAAAAGGGCTAAGGACGCAGCTCAGTGGTAAAGCACCTCTGGGATCAATTTCCAGTACCAAAAAAAAAAAAAAGTGTATTACTATTTGGTATTATACTTCTGATTTCATTATTTTGCATTCTATTTTTCTTAGATTATCTTCAACAAATCAGATAACATATTAATGATGTTTAAACTCTCATTACTGGAGGGCAGCTTGCTTTCTAATGCTATTTTTTCCTAAGAAACTAAATAAATTACCAAAAGCCATTTTGAAGTTTACTAACCATGACATTGAATTATCCTTTGGATTCCTGCAACCTGTTCCAAGGTATCTATATTCTGAGTATAGTTGCGAAGTAGTTTTCCTTCCTTATCTGACAAGGCTATGAATTTGTGACATAGAGATGGTTGGAACTGTCCAGGATATATTTCCTACATAATGCAAAAGGTAGAAAAAGCTAATGTTAATAAAATAACTATAACAGGCATCCTGCTTAGGTTTAACAAAAAAACTACCATTGATAATTCCCCATATATAATTTTAAAACAAAATACATGAACATTTTAAAGCATCTTGATGGATGCAACACACACCTAGAAAAAGGATTTTTGCTGTAATATGTATAAAACTCAGTAATTAGTGAACTTGGCCCCTTGAAGAAATGATCAGGTTGACCCATAAACATCACTAATAAATGACTCCTTAGGATATCAAATTTTTGCTGGCTGCAAATTCAGATTTTGTTTAAGGAAAAATGGGAAAAGTTTACACTGAAATTACAGATATCAAAAGTACGGTGACTTTTTAAAAAACTAAAAAAAGGGCTCTGTCAACATATGAATATTTTTAAAAAATTATTTTGATTCATCATTCATTATAAATATCAACCTGTTGGAAGTTTAAAGCTAAAGTTTTAATTCCTTACCAAAATTGTTTTCCTTCCACTGCACAGGCACATACTGGTATAGTATAGAGTTGCTCATGAATGCTGAGTTGCTGGATTTTGTGTGTGTGTTTTTCCCCCCAAATAATGCTTCAATGCTGTTTCTTCTTTAAAAACAAAGAATTCAGATATACACATGGCAAAAAGATCAGAGAAAAAGTATCAATTTTGGTCCTCCCAACTTTTGACAGTGTTTTTATTCAATTTCATTTAGTAAGTGACTATGGCAAAGGAAGTTTCTTCTCTACTTTTTCTTTAAAGTAGTAGCACTATCATCTACTTACTTCCTTACCATTCATTACAGGCTCTAACCCATTATAATGCTAGCCAAAAAAAAAAAAAAAAAAAAAAACTAGACACAACCATACATCCATCAATAGAGAACTGGTTGTGTAAATATAGCATATCCATAACAGTGGAATATGCAGCCATAAAAAATGAGGGAGACCTAGATGCACTGACCTGGAAAATGGCCCATAACATGTAGGGAAAAAAAAAAAAGTTAGTCACCAGTGTGTGTAGTTTTGTTTTGTTGTTAACTAAACAAAAATGGAAATTTATGTATATACAGATAGGTCCATAAGAACAAGCCAGGAAGAATACAAACAAGTTGTAAATAGAGTTGGGGTAATTTTTACTTCTGACATTATACCAAAAACGTTTAATCATGAGATTACAGATAACTACTTTTTACCTATTTCACATCTCAAATTTTAAAAACACTTTGCCATTCAACAAAAGAATACCTTCTAGATAAAACTTAATACACTTTTCCCATGATGGTAAGTATATGTATATGTCCACATGCTGCTAAAAATCTATTATACAAAAATCCAAAATTTTTGCCTTTCAAACGTTTCAAAAAAAAATTCAAGAATAACTCTTTGCAAAGAAAGAAACGAATAATTGCAATTTAAAAAAACAGAAAATGCATAAGAAGTAGCAGCAAAAGAGTTTATTAATAGAAGACTAAATATAATGGTATAGCACAACTCAGTAGTATTCCATGTTCTGGAATACTACTGAGTTGTGCTATACCATCATCTCCTACCCAGGATACTTTGTTTTATTGCCTTTACACTCAGAAAATTAAATATTGTAGCACTAAAGTACCTTCTGGGAAGATCTTTTAGCATACTTTGACCAATATTAGAAAAAGGCTAGGAACAGATAAAATAGAATCTCTATAAAGCAGTAGGCAGATTGATAAAAGCATGCCAAACACAGAACAGGAAGGACGACTAACTCCAGGGCACAGTCAGAAGACAGGAGTATCTATCCTCCTTGAATTAACTACATGTCTTAACTGTTCTCTTTCAAACGTGAGAGTAAGGAATGCAATAATGTATGGAATGCTAGATTTCACGTATATGCTAGTTTCCCCTTCTTGTCCAACCTGTTCAAGATAGTTTTTAGCCCTTAAAGTTATGAATCAATTCCTATTACTAAGGATAATTTATGAAAAACTTTTATTTTATAATCCTACATTTTACATGTGAAAACCTAAATGATGAGTCTTAGCTTTATTTTCTTTCTAATATTAAGAGGACCATGTCAATTTAAATATAGTATCCAACTATAAAGAATGTAATCAAATTATTCAGGACTATTTTAACAGAAACCAGTTCTAAGATAAGACTCTTAATTTGAGAAGTTTGCTGAAAACTAAATGGTCTATAATTTTTAGATAGGATACGGATTAACTCTTTCACATTAGAAGTATTATATGATAGCCAGCCTTGTTCTAAGCAAGTCCTTTTAAGGAACCAGTCATGAGGGTTGGGCCACTCTTGAGGAGATCAAAGGTTTAAGGTAAAAAAGGGAGCCTTCCACACAGCTGTGTATGAAAAGACACAAATAACCCAGGATTAGCCACCAACCAATGTGGTCAAAGCTAAAGCTCAGAACTACCTATGGAATCTCAGCGTTTTCCTGAGAAAATAATGGCTTTTCTCCAGTGATGCTCTCTGCTTTTAACCTCAGGTTTCTAACAATACAAATAAAAGACCCTAAAAACACAACTGTAATCACGGCCCCTGAAAACTAAAAAGACTCTTCGAAGTCTTAAGAGTTTATCAATCAGAGGAAGGCACACTGTTGAAAGAGAAGTAAAAAAGATTAAAGTAGTAACACCATCATCTACTTCCTTCCTTACCATTCGTTACAGGCTCTAACCCATTATAATGCTAGCCAAAAAGAACTAGACAAACTAGCTAAAAAATTCTCCAGTTAAGGAGAATACTCATTATCTTATTTCACTCATTCTGTAAAATCACCCAAATAGACTACTCAATCTTTTTTTTAAATATTTTCAGTTATAGATGGACACAATACCTTTTATTGATTATTTTTTTAACATTTATTTTTATGTGATGCTGAGGATCGAACCCAGTGCTTCACATGCTAGGCAAGGGCTATACTGCTGATCCACAGCCCCAACCCCACTACTTAGTATCTTTAATCAGTACTTAATACCCTAACCCTAACCTGACAAATTCAACTGCTGTGCCAGTACACTGGCACACAGTAATCCCAACAACTCAGGCTGAAGCAGAAGGATCACAAGTTCAAAACCAGCCTCGGCATTTGCCAGTAAATGGATGGAGCTGGAGAATATGAGGGTAAGTGAAATAAGCCAATACCAAAGAACCAAAGGCCTGATGTTTTCTCTGATGTGCAGATGCTAATTTACAGTCAGGGGAGGGGGGCACTAGGGAATAGATCAGATAGAAGGGAGTGAACGGAAAGGAGGGCATATGGGGATAGGAATGATAGACTGCATCAGACATAATTACCCTATGTGCATATGATTACACAATCTGTATAACTACATCACGCACAAGAATGAGAAGTTATACTCCATTTATGAGAGATGCATCAAAGCATCCTACTATCACGTATAACTAACTAGAATAAAGAAAATGAACACTGTACCATTTAAAAAAAAAACAGTCTCAGCAACTTATCAACACAGTAACTCAGCAAGACAGTGTCTCTAAATAAAATAGAAAAAATGGGCTAAGGATGTAACTAAGTGGCTAAGCGCCTCTGGGTTCAATCCATGGTACCAAGTTTGGTTCCTTTAGGAATCTTTATTGAGCATACATGTGTACACAGGACCACAGACAGTAAATATTTTAGGTTTTAGACCATATGGTTTATGTGTGTATGGTCTCTGTCACTACACAAGCTCTCCTTTATAATGCAAAAGTAGCTATAGATAATATATAAATGAGAATGGTTGTGTTCCAATAAAACTTCATGTACAATGACATCAGAATTTCATGGAAGTTCACACTCCATGAAATATTCTTTTGACTTTTTTCCCAGCAATTTAAAACCTCATCGTTAGCTGGGGAGGCAGTAGGGGGAAGATATTGGTCAATGGACACAAAATCTCAGAAAGGGAGAATGAGTTCACCAATATCTATTGTACAACATGGAGACTATAATTAGTAACAAGTGTATTATATACTCGAAAACTGCTGAGCGTAGATTGTGAATGTTCTTATCCAAAAATAAGTATGTGAATGTTATTTAGTTTGATTTAGCCATTCCATAAGGAAAAAATATATCAAAACATGTTGTACACTATAAATACAATTTTTATTTGCCCATTTACATGAATAATAATATATCACTTTAATAAGCAGAGGGTGAAATCTGATCTGATCATACATTATAATTTTAAAAAGCTGACATAAAAAGTAGGGTAACTTCTGTCCTAATCTAACACAAAGGAATTCCAATTAATGAAACTATTAGCTACTATTTAATGAAATTTTAGTATATACTTAGGTATAATAAGCCCTTATATTTTGTATTTATTATAATTCCACATACAAAATTCAGGGCTGGGTTTTTATATTTTAAAAGGTTAAAGAAAAATAATATGTCAGAGACCCTATGTGACCCATAAAGCAGGGCACATATTTACTATCTGACCCTTTGTGGAAAGTTTGCTGACCCTGTTCTAGACATATATTCTTTTTTTTTTTTTTTAGTTGTAGATGGACACAATGTCTCTATTTTATTTATTTACTTTTATGTGGTGCTGAGGACCCAAGCCAGTGCCTCACACATTAGATAGGCAAGTGTTCTACCACTGACCTACAGCCCCAGCCCATATATTCCCATTTTACAAATGAAAACAAAAACAAAGCAAAGAAATAATTTATCAATTTGGTAACAGGAACCATAAGTAGCATACTTAGCATTTACACCTAGTTTCAATACAAAAGTCCTGTTCTTAACTGCCTTTCCAATTTTATGCTTCAGCCTCAAATTTTCTATTTTTCTTTTGGACTAAGCACCATTTTTCTTAGGTTACAAACTAGTCTAATTGAGCAAGACTAGTTTGGTAAGTCCACCTTATTTTGCTCAATTTCATAGGATTACTACAGGCTGGAATTCCACTAACCCAAACATAAAAATACTCTTCAAAAAAACATATTCCCTAAAATCAGTATGAAAAGAAAAGCCCCTTGG